TGCCAAAGCTTCATTGAACAAGCGGAGGTTAGAAGCTGATTGGTTTCTATGCAGAAGGGAGTCTGATTTTGCACTCTCCAGCTTTAGTAAATAAACCCCATGGGGTCAATAATAAAATGTGTCTTAGATTAAATCTTGGACTCAACTGGACATTGGCAATTACACTTTCATTTTCTAAGTGGTGTGGAAAAAAATTAAAGATATAAGCTAAATGGTTGCTGTGGGCAATCACACCAGTTGAGATAGAACTTGCCTCAGACACTTTTCATTATTTGCTCCCATGAAATTTAGAAATAAACAGACTTACAGTCCAATTTGACTTAAATTATTATTTTATTCTGTTAATAACTAAGAAGTGAGTTCTTAAATATTTTTAATGTATTTTCACATATATTTAACTTTTGTATCACCAAGTTATTCGGCTCCCCCATCTAGATTATTTAGCCTTTTTGCAAGATTGTAATTATGTGCACATGAACAATAAATATGCCAAAGAATTAAGGCAAAACAAATGGCAGTGATGTCTGCACCAGTTTCACATGAGGAGACTGACAGTGATGTGGGCGATTAGCTTCTGAGCTGCCTATTGTAAGCTTATTAGACTGCATGAGTGGGACATACAATGGCCCCGTTCTTTGAAACCACTTGTATGCGTACATGCTGCCTACTAAGACATGAGACACAAACATGCAATTACAATCTTTTTTAGCTGGCATACAATAGGTTTATTAGGTTTAGTAATGCATTGCATTTCTGTAAATGGAGGTGCAATGCGTTAAAGGAAGACCATTCATTTGGAAATGGCTGTCAGAGCTCTTCCCTTTTTTAACCACTTGCCTACCGGGCACTTATACCCCCTTCCTTACCAGGCCAATTTTCAGCTTTCAGCGCTGCCGCACTTTGATTGACAATTGCGCGGTCATGCAACATTGTACCCATATGAAATTTTGATCATTTTTTTCTCACAAATAGAGCTTTCTTTTGGTGGTATTTAATCACCACTGGGCGTTTTACTTTTTGCGCTATAAATAAAAAAAGTGCAAAAAATTTGGAAAAAAAAAAAAGTTTGTTTCTTTTATAAAAATTTTTCAAACAGGTATTTTTTCTCCTTCACTGATGTGCGTTGATGAGGCAGCACTGATGGGCACTGATAGGCAGCACTAAAGGGCACTGATAGGCAGTACTAATGAGGTGGCACGGATAGGCGGCACTGATAGACAGCACTAATTAGGGGTCACGGATAGGCGGCACTGATATGCAGCACTGATAGGCGGCACTGATAGGTGACACTGATTATGGGTACTGATAGACGGCACTGACTGGCATCACTGCTGGGCACGGACTGGCGGCACTGACTGGCACAACCCCTGGGCACTGACTGGTAGCACTGACTGGCAGCACTGCTGGGCTGCACTGGTGGGTGGGCACAGGTGGGTGGCACTGGTGGGCACAGGTGGGTGGCACTGCAGAGTGGCACAGGTGGGTGGCACTGCCGGGCACAGGTGGGGGCACTGCTGGGCACAGGTGGGCGGAGCTAGTGGGCGCACTGCTGGGCAGAACTTGCGGGTGTCACTGCTGGGCACTGATCATCAGTGCCCTGATGATCGGTGCCGATCCCCGCTCTGACAACTGCTGGTTCTCGGCAGTACTTTCCTCACGATCTGACAGCGTGAGGAAAGTGCAGCCGAGAACCGGCACTTGCATTTCCCTGTGATCAGCGTGTCATTGGACACCGCTGATCACGTGGTAAAAGGCCGCTGTGATTGGCCTTTTACCACATCACGTGATCAGCTGTGTCCGTAGGACACAGCGATCACGGAGATCGCCGGGTGCGCGCCCCCTGGGGCGCGCAGGAGAGCGCTTTCTGGGAGGACGTCATATGACGTCCACCCAGAACTGGCCGGCCGCGGTGAAGCCATCATTCGGCTATGCGCGGTCGGCAAAAGGTTAATGCAGTGCATCACAACATTGTGATCTGCTACAGTGCAGGTTCATTGTCTGCTGCTGGAACAGTGCACTGGAATGCCACACAAAATAAGTTGTGGCACAGTGCATATCGCTTTGTACTGCGGTTAAACACCCGCAGACCTCAACTGTATCTGAGAACCACAACCTATTTAATTCATTTTTAATATTCCAAGCAAACACACCAACCATCCACGTGTCTATGCTTTATTTTGTAGAGAAATCATCTCCTAGCATTTCTAACCATGGCCATCTTGAGTAAGGGCAGATGACTCATGTAGAATTTACTGTTTGGAATCCATCTGCCCCCTGTTCAAGCAGGATGGTGTGCTTATCTGAGAGAAAGCCCCTACTTCAGATGAAAGAAAAAAATGCCCATGAACACTCCTGGCATGTAGGATATTCTTTTGGCTAGGCTGGAAACCAGGAAGAAACTGATGTAAAAAAATAAAATAAATACATTTTAGATCTATATATATATATATATATATATATATATATATATATATATATATATATATATATATATACATACACACACACACACACACACACATATATACAGTTGTGTTCAAAATAATAGCAGTGTGTTGAAAAAAGTGAATAAAGCTCAAAATCCTTCTAATAGCTTTTATTTCCATACACACAAATGCATTGGGAACACTACACATTCTATTCCAAATCAAAACATGAAGAAAAATATATCACATTTGTGTTGTTCCTCTAAAAAGATGGAAGAAAAGTGAATATTAGACTGTTCAAAAAAATAGCAGTGTTTGTATTCTTCTTTACAAACTCAAACATTCACTATATAAACTGAAAATTGTTTGAAGATTTTGCTTTCCTTTGAATCAATTCATATTTAGTTGTATAAGCACTGTTTCTGAGAACTGCTGTACATCTGTGTTGCATGGAGTCAACCAACTTTTGGCACCTGTGAACAGGTATTCCAGCCCAGGATGATTGGACTACATTCCACAGTTCTTCTCTATTTCTTGGTTTTGCCTCAGAAACTGCATTTTTCATGTCACCCCACAAGTTTTCTATTGGATTAAGATCCGAGGATTGGGCTGGCCACTCCATAACGTCAATCTTGTTGGTCTGGAACCAAGATGTTGCACGTTTACTGGTGTGTTTGGGGTCGTTGTCTTGTTGGAAAACCCATTTCAAGGGCATTTCCTCTTCAGCATAAGGCAGCATGACCTCTTCAAGTATTCTGATGTATTCAAACTGATCCATGATCCCTGGTATGCGATAAATAGGCCCAACACTGTAGTATGAGAAACATCCCCATATCATGATGCTTGCGCATCCATGCTTCACTGTCTTCACAGTGTACTGTGGCTTGAATTCAGTGTTTGGGGGTCGTCTGACAAACTGTCTCCGGCCACTAGACCCAAAAAGAACAATCTTACTTTCATCAGTCCACAAAATGTTGCGCCATTTCTCTTTAGGCCAGTCAATGTGCTCTTTGGCAAATTGTAACCTCTTCAGCACGTCTTTTTTTCAACAGTGGGACTTTGCGGGGGCTTCTTGCAGATAGCTTGGCTTCACATAGGTGTCTTCTAATTGTAACAGTACTCACAGGGAACTTTAGACCTTCTTTGATCTTCCTGGAGCTGATTGTTGGCTGAGTCCTTGCCATTTTGGTTATTCTTCTATCCATTCGAATGGTATTTTTTTCGCTTTCTTCCACATCTTTCAGGTTTTGGTTGCCATTTTAAAGCATTTGCGATCATTTTAGCTGAGCAGCCTATCATTTTCTGCGCTTCTTTATGTTTTCCCCTCTCCAATCAATGTTTTATTCAAAGTACGCTGTTCTTCTGAACAAATGTATGGAACGACCCATTTTCCTCAGTATTTCAGAGAGCAATGCACTGTAACCAGCATGTACAACATTTGCTGCCTTCCTTCCTTAAACAAGGGCAATAATTGAAACCTGTTTTTCAAAGAATGAATGACCTCACTAATAAAACTCCACACTGCTATTATTTTGAACATGCCCCTTTCAATTAGTGATTCAATTACACAGAATTAGCAGCATGCATGTCATCACTGTTGGGGTCTGTTGAATCTCTATTACTCTACTACACCTGCTAGTAAATTATTTGCCATGTAGAAATATCATTTCTACCAAAAACAGTGATTGATCAGGTTAGTGATGTCTGACTGCTATTATTTTGAACACAACTATATATATATATATATATATATATATATATATATATATATATATTATACACACACAGAGCAGGTAAAAGTTGCTGAAGAAAAAGCATGTTGAAGCTCATTTAAAGTTTGCTAGACAACATCACAACATTTAGACAAGCCTTTGAAATTCTGGGAGAACATAGTCTGATCAGACGAGACCAAAATGGAACTCTTTGGATGTCACAATACACACCATGTTTACAGCTCAAATGACACTGCACATCACCCCGAAAACACCATTGGGAACATCATGGTGTGGGGCTGTTTTTTTAGCATACGGTATTGGCAAATTGCTTGATAAAAATCTACTGCCATCTACCAGGATGATGAAGATGAAACTGAGGGTGGACATTTCAGTAAGACAGCGATCCCAAACACAAAGCCAAGGTTTCAAAGAAAGAAAACGAAGCTGCTAGATTAGCCCTATAGAAATTCTATGGAAAGAACTAAAGATCAGAGTTCATAGAAGAAGCCCATGGAACCTTTAAGATATGAAGATTTTTTTTTGTGTGGAAGAATGGGTCTAAAGTCACACCTGAGTATTGCATGCCACTAGTTTCTCCATACAGTAGGCGTCCTTAAACTGTCATTACCAACAAGGGATTTTTTATACAAAGTATTAAATAAATTTCAGTTAGCCTGTTCAATACTTTTTCCGTGTCATTCCATTTTAAAACACATACCATATTTTTTGCTCCATAAGACGCACTCCCCCCCCCCCCCCCAAAAAGGAAGGAAAATGTCAGTGCGTCTTATGGAGCGAATATGGAGCGGCCGGTCCGGTATTTCCACCGCCGCCACCGTGTCAGAATACCGGGCCGGCCGCTCAGCTCTTCTCTGCAGAAGGACCTTACCTGTTCCTCGGTCCAGCGCTGTACAGTCTTCCCGCGCCTGGATCTGTGACAGCCGGGTGCCCACTGCGCATGCGCGAGAAGTGCTGGGCTTTGTGAATGGTCCGGCATCTTCTGGGACACATGACAGGTCCCAGAAGACACCGGGCCAGTCACAAAGCGCAGCGCTTTTCGTGCATGCGCAGTGGGCACCCGGCTGTCATAGCCGTGTGTCAACAACTCCGCGGAAGTGGGAGCGGGTACCTGTCAAATTCAGGTACCCGTTCCCCCTCCCTCCCCAAAGGTACGCAGTCTCTGGTCATCTCCTGTACTGTGTCCGCAGTCTCTGGTCATCTCCTGTACTGTGTCCGCAGTCTCTGGTCATCTCCTGTACTGTGTCCGTAGTCTCTGGTCATCTCCTGTACTGTGTCCGCAGTCTCTGGTCATCTCCTGCATTGTGTCCGCAGTCTCTGGTCATTTCCTGCACTGTGTCCGCAGTCTCTGGTCATCTCCTGCACTGTGTCCGCAGTCTCTGGTCATCTCCTGTACTGTGTCCGCAGTCTCTGGTCATCTCCTGTACTGTGTCTACAGTCTATTGGTTCAGAATATTTTTTTCCTTGTTTTTCTCCTCTAAAACATAGGCGCGTCTTATGGTCAGGTGTGTCTTATGGAGCGAAAAATACGGTAATTTCTGATTTGTTTTGGTTTCTTTGTATGTATGGATTGCATGGGTTGTTACCAATATGTGCTGAAAATTTCATGTTAAAAGCACCTTTAGAAATATATTTACTGAAAAAAAAGGTGACGTGTTCAATACTTACTTTACCCGCTGTAAAATATTTAAAAAACGATTTATTCTAAAAATCTAAGGTTACCATTTTTCACTTACAGCTTTCAAAATTTGTAAAAGATCCCCTAAACCATATATTTTCTGAAAGCACATGACCTATAGAAGGCTACTGATTTTTAGGCCCTGCAATATTTGCGTAAATAATTATCAAACTGCTATTTTCACTAAAAATACATTAAATCATTATTAGTTCAGACAAACACAACATAACTTACACAATTCCTGCTAAATTGCTGCTAAGGCCTCATTCACATGGGGTGTACTAAAGTGTATGCCCCTGAAGGGCCGTGTTTACCCACATTGGGATTTGCAGGTGTTCCATTCATCACTGAGCAGGCAGTCCTATTCATGTCAATTGAAATGTAGCAGCTGCACGTGCACAGCCTGACTTTTGTGTGGGTGCACAACCCCTAACCCAGACAGTGTGAGCTCAGGGACATGCACCCGGATCCTCACAGATGTCAAGACTTACAGTTACAAGCATGACTCCCAAAGGCAGAGGCATGATGGGACTTGTAGTTTCGCAACAGCTGGAGGGCCGCCAGTGACACCCCTAGACTAGACAATATGGCAAGTTAGTTGACTGTATAAGTGGTCACATATTGCTCATCTTTAGTTTCATTCACTCAGAGCAGAAGGAATGGTTTCTTCAAGTCAAACATTTGGTAACTATAAAGATAAAAACTCAAAATATTTCCCTATTTTCCTATGGCAGAGCTTTTTAGATCTCTAAAATTGCCTCTCTTAGGTTTGTTGCAATTTGTGTAAAGCTGCCAATAGGCTGATCCTCTAAACCAGGTAACCAAAATATTTTGTTGTCTGTGCTCTTCCTGCATTTGGATTATTAGGAGTCTGTACAGTTACCTGCCCTTAACCCTTGTCTGAAAAGAGGCAAGTGGATACCAAGTTTATAGTGTTTTTTACTACTTATGTTTTTTTTAACCACTGGTCTCTTGATTCTGCTGAAAAAAAAAAAAAAAAAAAAAAACAACTCAGAACCCTAAAGATCCCCTCATCTTTCCTAAATGTGTTCCAGGACAGCAAGTGCAATTTGGTCCACGGGCTTTTTTTTTTTTTTTGCCTTATTCTGGATCAACTTCAAGTTTAGACCACATTCACACCTAAGTGTCACATTGTCAAGTGTTTTTTCATTACATTTTTTTTTCTTTTCTGAGCATTTTTTGGAGCAGAAATGAACATTTTTGCAGCATTTGTCATGCGTTTTTCAACTAGGTGTTTTTTTAATATATGGCCAATAGGAACCTAAAAAAGGGGCAGAGAGCTGCTGTTTTATCTGAAACCGCTTGAAGAAACACTCATGTCAAGCTTTTCAGGCGTTTCCATTGAAGTCTATGAGGACAAAAACTCAATTCTGCCTGAAAAGGAGCTCATGGACTTTTTTGAGCAACAGGCCTTTTACCTACAAGCGACAGAATGCTCAGATGTGAACAAGAGCTATTGAAAACAATAGGTTTTTGCTTGTTGAGTGTGTTTTGAGCTTCAAACTACATGCACCAAAATGCTCACGCCTGAACGGGACCTCCAAAGCAATTGGATGCTTCCTGGGTTCTAGAATGCTGGAAGAAATGCTGAGTTACAGTGCAATTAGCAAAGCACACACTTTTTCAAAAGAAAACCAGATAGATTCAAATAGACCAGTCATGTAAGATATATGTAGAAGAGCAGCCCAGTAGTACATATTTTGCCAGATGTATCTAGTCATATGTTTAACGCTGCTTGAGGGCAATATATTTTCCTAATAAACTGAAGTTGAAAAGGTTAAATATCTTGGAAAGGGTAAAGAGATTTGTACTTTAATTTTGTCTCAGCACTGTTTACTCAGGAATAATGACGCACAGTACCATTCTGAATGACCCAAAGTCTTGCACAAAAGGTAAACAGGCTCTTGAGAATTAAAGTGGAATGTGTGAAGCATGTGAAGAATCCTGCTGCCCTGACTATGGCCTGACACTGTACAGACTTACATTTATGGATAAGCAAGCTTCCGATGCCAACAATACACTTAAATCTTTAGATTACTACCTTTTTTTTCCTGATGCTGGGAAGGAGTGCCCAAGGTCTGTAGTGTCCTGGAAGCTATTGGACAACAAAATGTAAATAACATAATGGTATATATAGGGCAGGCTTTGGGGGTGCTAGCACAGGATCACAGGTATGCCAAGCACTATATTGTGGAAAATGGTACAGTGCATTTAAATATATTTAATTTTTTTTCATATACTGGGGTCTGTTGGGGTCCAAAAGGTGAAGCTAGCCAATAAACTATGGTAAATAGCTAGTTTAGGGCATCTGCCTGTACACCTTTTTACATCTTTAACCACTTGCCCTCCAGAGGATTTCCCCCCCTTCCTGACCAGGCCATTTTTTGCGATACGGTGCTGCGTTACTTTAACTGACAACTGCGTGATGATGAAACGCTGCACCCAAATTAAATTTATGTCCTTTATTCCCCACAAATAGAGCTTTCTTTCAGTGGTATTTGATCACCGGTGTGTGTTTTATCTTTTGCACGATAAACAAAAAAAAACTGACAATTTTGAGGAAAAAAAAAACAATTTTGACTTTTTGCTATAAAACATCCAGTAAAAAAAATAAAAAATTTAGGTCAAAATGTATTCTGCTACATGTCTTTGCTAAACACAATTCCAGTACTTTTAAATTGGCCTATGTGAAAGTTATAGCATCTATAATTTTTTCTTATACTAGTAATGGTAGTGATCAGCGACTTATAGCGGGACTGCAGCAGGCATTCTGACATTGGGGGGGAAACTGACTGTCACTGTCATCCCCAGTGACAATAATACAGTGATCAGTGCTAATGAAAAGCACTGACACTGTACTAATGACAATGGGCAGGAAGTGGCCAACATCTGGGCCAATCAAAGGGTTAACTGTGTGCTCTGTTTTAATAGGGAAGCATGCTGTTTTGTATTGCTCTTCTATGCAGATCAAATACAAAGAAGCATGCTGGAGCTGACAAGGGAGATATCTGTATGGTATACATAAACACCTCTCCCCCGTCAGTGTTCCTCAGCGATCACCGGGTGCCGGTGGGGAATCTCCGACTCGGACCCGGTGATCGACAGCTGTAGCCGCCAATGGCGCACGCACCCCCCCTACCTGGAAATACAAAATCATGTATATATACACACGTGATTTTTTGCAGCCCTGCCACCCTTTAGCAGTAGTTCTGCTATAGGGCAGTCGGGAAGCGGTTAATTCAGTAAAGAGACATCCTTTTATCCCTTACTTTTGAAAATGTCTACAAGGCTAAGTTCACGCTTGTGCGTAGTTGTGGGTGCAGGGCAGCGGGTAACCTGTTCTCGCACCCGCAACCAAACTTTGCTGCTCCTTTGCAGACATGCTGGGCTATCATTCATTCTTAATGGCAGTCAAATGCATCTGTGTTTTCGGCTGCAAGAAATCACATGGTGCAAAAGCACCATGCGATTGCCCTCCAACTGCAGTTTAAAAATAGTGCAGGAACCTTTTTCTGCATGAAACACAGGCACATCAGCCCATTGAAATGAATGGGCTGCCGGGACCACGCAAATGTGAACCAAGCCTAATTCCTTGGCGATTGCTGTACACATATTTAACCAAAAAAACACCTTCTCATAATGCTCCATGACTGCATGCAGAGCTTACATCAGAACTCCACATTTAACCACATGCCCTCTAGAGGGTTTTACACCTTTCATCCTCCGGCCTTTAAAATACCAGGACATTAAAAATGCCCTCCAAATGTGACCCTTTTTGAAAAGTAGACAGTGTGAGGGTCTAAGGTATTTAGTAAAAGGCATGGCAAGTTATCTGAAATTGTAATTTTTGGTAAAATTTCTGTGAAAATGAAATTAGTTTTTTTTTTTCACACATCCGTTTTATACATACCGCCACCATTGCATTACATTGTCATCATATGACTGGTGTGGTAGTGATCAGGGATACTGACTGGTATCCTGGCATCCTGTAGTGACACTGTTCTACTCTGGGGGGGGAGGGGAGGAATCAGGGTGTTTTTTTTTTTTTTTTGTAATCTTTGATTGCTGGTACAGTGATGATCACTGTAACAGCAGTGCTTCCAACTGTCATGAATGAGTTTCATTCATAGAGGTTGCGCTCAGTATTGTGATCACATGGCACAGGGTGCTGTGATTGGCCCACTGTACCATGTTATAGCTGTGATGTGCCAATCACAGCATCACAATGCTAAGCTCAACTGCTATGAAAGAAACCCTCTCATAACAGCTGTGTTGACATTGAGACGTGACAACTCGGCCACTCAAAGTGGAAGGTTACCACGATCCGCAATTGCAGGAGCGGTACACCAATGCACATGTGCTGCACGACGCATGGGCGCGTCACTTAGCCTGCCCGTGCCACCCACCTGCAGCATATGTACTGTGGGCAGGGAGGATGTAGGCAAGGTTCCTTTAAATAGTTTGTTTGGGCCAAGCTGGCCCACAGTGCAGTACACAGCACTGTGTTTCGACACTCAGACAAGAACTTCCTGTACCACTACAGGAACAAAATAAAGTTGGACTGAGCACTGCTCAGCCATTCATAGGCAGCTTTGAATTCTTTGAATGAATAAAGCTCTCTCTAATTGGCTAAGGCAGAGAGGGAGGCTGAAGATGCCACATCACATACAGCAGACACAGCAAGTGCATCTGTTAGTGCAGTAAATAGTTAATTTGAGCAGGGCCATCTGATTCCTCCTGTATTGT